GAGCGATTAACAACACTGTGAGTTCCACAAAATAGCTTGACAAATGCCTACTAATCTATTTATAAGAAGACTGTATAGAAGTTTACATTAGAGGATGGAGAAGACGGAGTTGCGAGATTGGGGACTTCAGAATATGTGGAAACGGTTTGTGACCAATAAAACGATGGCCGGTCGACATAATAACCTACAGTGGAGTGCTTGTCTCTGTGCTTTCTGCTCTCTGCTTTTCTCTGTGCAATACAATGTTCTCAAGTCTGAGAGATCAAGTCTTGGAATCATCGGGTCGCGTTTAGGTACAGCAAGATTAAAGTGTCTAATGTTATTGCCTATTTTGTAGCCTAGCTTAACTTGTTTTTTTTTTCTCTTAAGAGGGAATTTCATATACAAGTTCGGCACACATGGCAGTGTTGAGAAGACCCGTTCCCTATTACTTAATTCTTACTGTGAAACCAGTCTATATATTCATGTATGTTTTATTATCTTAATACAGTGAACACATCAGACTTACATAATATGCGGGTTGTATGATTGGCACCCCCAAAACACACCCTTGGCATCTGTCGTATCGGATTTACATAATGAAAAGCCGTTCATACATTTAAATATTCAAGTAAGATGAAGTAGATATATAGTGCATGTTCCATTCGAAAGGTGCGGGGATCAGGTTTTGCAACCACTATGTGTGCTTTGGTAATAATTTGTATATTTTCGAAAAAGAGGAAATATGTTATAAACAAAACCTATCACATGTAACCTTAGTGATTGAGAGCCATGAGTGAATAAAGAGCGAGGAGTGTCTTGTAGAGGAACTGAGTTGATTGACATGTAAACGGAGGAGAAGGCCGCTAGAGATGGCATAAGGTAGAGATAGAACTGGAAACAAAGCGGCGCGGGAAACAACTAGGATGTAGTTAATAAATAATATGAAAGATTATAACGGTGTCGTATTTACTAACAACAAAACACAAAGGCAACAACTTCGTCACACACAGATTTTTCATTTAATGACATGTACATTTTGTGTGTCTGTAAGTCAAAATGATGTCTCACTACCCCCTCTCTCTCTCTCTTTGTGTGTGTGTGTGTGTGTGTGTGTGTGTGTGTGTGTTGTAAATTGTAACCTTGGACTTGGACGTGTTTCAGCCCAATAGTATTTTAATATTTTATGTAAATAGTTATTTGACTGAAGTGGAATATAAGGGAATGAGTATGGATATAAAGGTTGTCACATCTTTCACAATCCCAATCCCAGGTGAGGTATTGTTGTAAAGGGACTGTATATTGGTTTATTAAGCAAATTCTAACACTTAAATTGTCTTTGTTCTTTTTAGGTTAATCTTTTCTACCTGGAAATAAAAAGAAAAATAGAACTCTTTCTCTCTCTTTTTCCTCTCTCTCTCTCTCTCTCTCTCTCTATCTCTCTCTCTCACACACACACACACACACACACACACACACACACACACATAAAACGAGAGAGTTGTGAGAAAGAAAGGCAGAGAGAGAGAGAGAGACAACATTTTCTATATCTTCCCTAGTACTAAATGATAATCCTGCGGTACCTGAACCTCGGTATATACATCAGTGCAGTCCATACAGGGGCAACTGGTGCATGTAGAAATGCACTGTCATTAGCGTAAAGAACTGCAGGGTTTTCTACATGCATTACCTTCGCTCAACCTACTTTTGGGGGACTGATGACGTGTGAGCACGTGATTGGCTACCATGACGCTTCGTCCCTTATTTGACATAAAACGTGAGGTAATCAACTAGGGAATCTGGCAATAATCGGTTATATGTGAGACGGATAATACTGGTACGTTGGTGATTGAAAACACCTACTGTGCTGTCAAATGAGGACATTAAGTTAGAACCAGAAGACGGCCTCCATCCGACCCTAGATTTATTGTGGATAAAAATGTCGCCAACTTTTACGTCGTTTTGAATCAAAAAGTCTTCATTTAAATTCAATAAAGTTCCACTTTCTTGTACATGTTGCTATCCCCCATAGTGCATTAGGTTAAAACTAAAATTGATATAACCAAGATTATGTCATATAAAATTATCATTTTATTTTCTCACAAGAATGATTATTTTGACCCAGTTATGTTATCTAAAGTTACAAAAATTTTATAAAAAAAACTCCCCATTGCAGTCAAGTTGGCTCCAATGGAGACACGCCATCCTCTACTCCGTTTGATGTAACTGATTTAACAATACACATGGTCACTGTGACCCCATAGGAATTTTTGCCTCAATGGCACACCCGATGATATTGGAGTGACATACCCCTGACACTTGCCCTTAACAGAATTGTGTCAATCAGATAAAATGAAGCAAACAAAAGGAAAAAAAATCCGTAATCAATAAAACATAAAGGAAAAAACAAACAGGAAAATACAGGACTTTTTTCGTTTCACTAGAATAATTATTTGTTGCCATACTTATGCCTTTCACGTAAGATAACATCCGTGTGCATAATTGATATAGGTGCGATTCCCTCCTCTCGATTCCAAAACTATGTCCAATAAATATGTACGAAGATGTAAGGTTTTGTTATGTCTAAACATGTAACTGTATCCCAACAACGAAAGGGCTGCTTGGTCGTATCTATGGTTTTGCAAACTGGATCCAACGGGAGAGATACAATTTTCGTGTAACGCACAATTTGCCCATGGAACCAGTATTTCATCATAGATATCCCCTTGTCTAAACCAGCCGTTTAAACACCCCACGATCGTCTGTTTTCCAACATAGGGTTCTTTGGTAATATTGAAATATGCAAACATTCCAGGATGTGTCCATTTTGTCACCTCACCGTTCGCCCCCCACGCGCTGGCATAAACATAACCATCATTTTGAAAGACAGAAGTCATTATTTCTTTCATTCTTCCACTGATGTGGCTGCCGGCGTCCACTCAAAGCACTGCCCCAAATTCATCTACCATTTGTTTAATAATGACCGGTTTGAAGGCGTACGTGTGCAGGTTGCGAAAGTGAGGGGGGTGCCTTTCAAGGGGGAACCTCCTATACGTCACGCTGGACCAGCATTTCACAGTCTCCGCCTCTTTGGCGGTCAAACCGAGGTCCCACACCACGATTTTGAGAGTTGGTTCCCAGAAACAGAATGACCTGACTTGGTTAACGAGAGCCGGGGAAAAATACTTGTGGTTTGCGCCTGTGACAATTGTTAAGTTGTTGATTTCAATAAGTTTACCCCTTGCAATAGGTCCTTTAGGCTTTGTCTCTGTCTGCAAGTCTGAAAAAGCCATATGGAAACATTATTTTACATAACGCATATGTACCAACAGATTATTAGATTTGCCTAAGTTACGCGTACACATTTAGTAGACAATGGTATTACAGAAACAAAAAATTATTTTGTATGTATAACCAGATTCTTTTTTTTTTCATTCAACCCGGCCTTATAAAAATTCCCTGTATGAATTAGCATAGGATTCCCTAAAGGTTCCTATCAAAATTCCTGTAAGATTTCCTATAGGATCCTATAGGAATTTTTGTAATGGTCTGAACATAAATTAAAAATTAAAATTATATACTGATATTTGGACCAGATTAATTTTTTTTCATTCAACCCGCCTTTATAA